CTTAGGTTTAATGCTTTACCCGAGAAGTTATTTTAGTTTCAAAAATGTTAGGAATTTCAAAAGTTCTATTAAGATTTTTACTAAATGTCTCACATGAGTATGAGACTCGCATAGGACTCACTGTGGGTCTCACATCTATATGAGACATTCAGTAGAAATTTTGGAATTTTTAGGATTACTTTTTTAGTTTTGGAGCGACTTTAATGCATTATTTGACATTTCCTATATTAGCACACTTATTTATTTATTTTTATCATATCACTTCTATATATATATATATATATGTATTTTGTATATCTTTTCATAAGAAACTAAAGGTATACTTATTTAGATTATCCTAAAAATACTCTAAATGGCATTCTAAATTGATATTTACTGATTTAAATAATACGGTCATCACTATGTAGTATTATTTTGAGAGAATATAAATTGTGTTAATTTAAATAAGTGAAGTGAAACATTACACATAATTTTTTGGTTCGCCCATCCTCATATTTTATTTTATTTTTGAACTCAAGAAAAAAAAAAAAATGATGCTCTGAGATGTCATCATGGCATAGTCACATTAGGGCCAAGAGGGCATGTATTCCTTCTCAATTTTTTAATTTAATTATGATTCATTTCATTTTGTCTTTTTACCTTAAACATAACAATTAACTATCTCGAATTATTATCTTATTATATTTAATATTGTTTGTTGAGATTCTGTCTTAGGATTTAAACAAAATTAGGTCATATGTGAAGCACGTGACACATTGATTGATTTTCTAAAACAATAATAACCGTTATTAATTTTTTTAAGACAATCATACTCTTATCTAGTGATTTTATTTGCACTTTGTTTTCCTTATTTTAGTGACAAAGTGCAAACGGGATCACCAGATAAAGACGTTATTATCCTAAAATTTAATAAATGTGTCATGTGTTTTATATATAATTTGATTGTGTAAATTCTTAATAAAATCTTAACATAAAGGGTTAACTGTAATAAAATAATATTTTGAGATAGTTAACTATTGAGTTTTAAAGGTTAGAGGGGCAAAATACAAATGGATCATAGTTTAGGAGAGTTATTGTAATTTACCCTTTTTAGAAAGATATTGTTTTACATTCATTTTTTAATTTATTCTTTTAAAGTTTTATGTATGCCTCTAAAATATTTTTTTTTATATAAATTTTATGTTAATTTTCCATCTTCTCTCTCATTTCTTCCTTCACCCTCTCCATTTATTTATTTATTTTCATATCTTAGTATAATGTCATTATTTTTATGAAGGCATAGTGATTGTATTCTAATTAGGAAAAATTAGTGAAACATCCCTCTCCAACTTTATGTAATAGGACAAGTCCAAGACATTTTTTGTTTTTTGCTAAGGTTTCTGAACATTTTCACCGAGAAAATTCGACTTAGATAAATTTTGTCCGACTCAGAGAAATTTCGACCTTGACTCAGAGAAATTTTGAAATTTTCCTGGTATGATCATGCAGAAATCAGAGAAATTTGAAATTTCTCTGAGTCGGACAAAATTTCTCCGAGTCGAATTTTCTCTGTAGAAATGTTGCAGGACCTTAACTATTATAAAAATATTATATGCCGTTTATTTATAAAATCTTAAAAACAATTCCCCCTTTAAATTATGATGATCACAATATTCATAAACGAAAATAGAAAATTGAATTAATTATAAAAAACAACCCGGGGGGGATTGGGGAATTAAAAATTGTTCAGTCAACTTGAGCTTATAACTTTAATACATAATTTTGGTACTGATCTTTGGTTGTACTACTACCCAATGAAAATTAAATTCAATTGGATTTGGAATGGATTAGTAGATCTCAATAAGTATATTCGTCTTCCTGAACCAAAATTGGCGCCATCCCATTGGCTAGTATAATGAAACTATAGTAGATGTCAATAAGTATTATAAAACTATTTTGAAGGATTTTTGACATATACTTACCTAAGTTTAAATTAAAAATAAATCAAAAGATTATGATTTAAATTGACAAAAATAAAAATTCAAGGTTTATTTTTTTTTAATTTTTCCTAAAATTTATTCCTCTTATGCCACTTGTGATATGTAAGAGAGTCAACATTTGGGAAAATATTTCTCTTATTGATTTTATTAGTTTTGTTAGTGTTTTTTTTTTTCGTTGCTAAAGCCAAATATTATTATGGTTTGTATGAACATTGTTCAGTTGAATTCTAATTTCAAGTCACTATTAATTTTTTGATGTATTACTATTCCGTATATACCTAAAAGTTCACATGTTAATCATTCTATTTGGTTTTAAGCCTTCAAAAATAATTGAGTTTTTAACCCTTCTTTATTTTTGGCTTTTGTGAACTTTTCTTTTAATAAATATTTTTGTCACTTTTTAAAACTTTTTAGCTCTCCTTAATTTAAATCCACTTATAAAGTACAAATGTAGGCTTACTTTCGCTCCTCTACCCGGCAATGAGAATGAAAAATTTGGATTCCATTCATTTTGAATTCTTTAACCTGCTAACTCGCTTCCTCTCCAATGGAAAGTACGTCCGAGGCCTGATAACCTCCTAGTTCTAGAGGTAGAAGGGAAGATTAGAGAGGACACCGATGGGATAGCCAAAGTGCTTTTTCTTTAGCCATGGGCAGTGGGGGAGTAAGCAGACTGGAATTCTCCGTAGAGTCATAAGCCAAATCAAATGAAGAATTATCCACCGAATCATTCGCAGAAGCTAGGGTAGGCCCCTATTGGTCTCTTCGTTTGGAAGAACGATCAAATTTGTAAAATAAGAATAATGCTTGGGACCCCCTTTTGGGGGCCACCCCCTCACCCCTTTGTCACGTGGCGGGTGGTGATTGGAGAAGTAGGAAAAAAAAGAAAAAGAAAAAGAAAATGTAACCAATGAGAGAGAGGGGGGGTCAAAGGGGGTGGGGGGAAAATGGGGAATGAATCATTGTTGGTAAAATAATACTTAAAAAAATTCACTACATACTAAAAATATGAAAGAATAAAAAATTCAGTATATTTATGTATGTTTTCGTATTTATTAAGTTTTTAAAAAAATTGTTCACAAATATTTTACTTTTTAAATACATTTAAATTAAGTGCATGTAATAAATAAATAAATAAAATTGAATAAAACATTAAAAAAAGGAAGCCGCTATTCTCACTCCACTTGTTCTAAATATATTCCATTCTTTGTTCTTATTATACATAGAAGGGAGCGTATTTAAGGTAAAGTGAAGTGAGAATAGTAATTGTATAGAAAAAACAAAAAATAATAATAATACAAAGGAATTACACACATTAGCTCAAGGACTGAAGCAATCCAGCTCAAATGCTCACAAGAAGCAGAGGAGTTGACAACCAATGTGTCACAGCTCAGTAAGGTTAACAAGTTTAAGCATCACAATTATGCAAGTTATATGGCAGGTAAATAGTTGAGTGTTTGTTAAAGTGTATGCGTGTGAGTGAATTAGTTAGATTGAGAGAGTGTTATGTGTAACGTGTATATATACATCTGTAATAACTACTTTGGAAGGTATGGAATAAGAGTTTCATGATGGTATCAGAGCTTCAAGCTCAAATGAGCAAGATCCTCTAATGGCTACGAGTTCATCTCTTTCAAATTCAATTTCTACAAATCTAAGTCTGCTAATCTCAAATTTCAATTCCTTAGTCACTGTGAAGCTAGATTCAAGTAATTTTCTTATATAGAAGAGTCAATTGCAAAATGTTTTGCAAGCCACCAATCTTCTTGGCATTGCAACCAGATCAATTGCTTGTCCTGATGAACAAATCACATATTAGAAAGGAAAATCTATACCAAATCCATAATTTACTCAATGGAAGGTAATTGATGCACATCTCTTGAACTGTCTAATAGCAACACTATCTCCTTCAATTTATTCATCTGTTTTTCATCGCACACTGTTTTCAAGTATGGCAAGCCCTGGAAAAACGATTTACTTCATTATGAAGGTCTCATGTTTATCAATTAAAGAACAAGTTACAGACTCTCACCAAGAATTCTCTCTCAATTGAAGAGTATCTGGCATAGTTTAAAGCAATCTCTGATCAATTGTCTCTTGCATCTTCAGGTGTTCTTGATGAAGATAAGGTATTACTCATTCTCAATGGCCTACCAGATAAATACGATGCTTTCAAAACAATGATTAGAGGAAGATCTAAATTGATTTCTGTGGATGTGTTGTGTTCTTTATTGTGTTCTGAATCTATTTATATTGAAAACAAGATCAAGCATACAGATGATCATTCTCTTATGGTTGTTTACTCAGTTTCAAAAGGATCAAACCCTAACTTTTCATCTGGTTATGGTGCTTCATCTACAAACTTTTATTGAGGCAATTCTTCAGGATATCAAGGCAGAGGACAATTCTATAACAACACTGGTAATCGTGATGGTAGTCGATTCCACAATCAAACCAATAGTTGCAATAGAGGAGGAAGGTCAAATCACAATAGTTATAGTTCTTCTAGCTGTTAGATTTGTGGAAAATTGAGCCACACAACCATTGATTGTTGGCATCGAATGGATCTTTCTTTTCAAACTATTACGTCGCATACTCCATTTCCTCAATCAAACTCTAGAGCCTATGCAGCTACTGTTCCTCAAAATATGTAGTCCTCATTATCTTAGAATCTGTCTTAGTACATTGATTGATTCAGCAGCTACGAATCATATCACAAATGACCTGTCTAATCTCTATGTTTCACAATCATATAGGGGACAGGATCAGGTTACTGTTGGAAATGGCTCCTCTTTGCCTATTCATCATATTGGTACAGGCACCTTGCCTACTCCTACATATTCTCTCTTAATCATCTGTTACATGTGCTCTCTATCTCTTTTAATTTCTTGCCTGTTCAACAATTAACTAGGGATCATAATTGTGTGATTTCTTTTGATGCTCACTCTTTTGTCACCCAGGGCAAGCTTTGTAACGCCCCAACTTCCGGGCCGTTAAATACGCACAATAATACAACACAAGTAGAATAGATGACCAGAACATCTTAATATACATATATAACCAGAGTTAATATCACAGATAATTCGTTTATGTTCCATTACAGGATTACCAAAACATTGCCAAACCAAAAGTCAAAAGAAAAAAAAAAACTAGTCTAAGTCTTCAAATGAACCACAGCTCCAACACTTCATCTCGTTTGCCTTCGAAATAACCTTCACCATTGTAAACTGCTTCATCACCTGGCATGACACGCCATGAGCTTGGAATGCCCAGTAAAAACACACACACCCCCATATCTTCTATCAACCAATCAACCATACACAGAACAAATCGGAATACATAACATACTTACAATAAGGTTTTACGAATTAGTAGTTAGACTAGGCATCTAGAATCTCTTAAAGAGATCCTTCTACCCAACCACACGGATTGAACACCGGACTATTCAGAACTCCCCCTTTTGCTGCTTTGCAGACCTTACCACCTATGCCCACCTCCTGGTTATTTACCAGTCAGTGACATTGATAGACCTCAAAAGAGACGGCCAAACAAGTGGGCTCGCTTACACCCAAATCGTGCCTAGGGCTCGCTTACACCCTGCACATACCATATCAAATCATGCCTAGGGCTCGCTTACACCCTGCACATAACATACCATATCAAAGGGCTCGCTTACACCCCGAAACCACCGCATAGAGTCTGAATACATCCATGTCAACCTAGGAGCTCGCTTAGACCGCTTGCGCAAGACTTAACTCATTTGGTTTTAATCCCATCATAATTCATGCCATTCATATGTATAAATTATTCCAGCACTAATGTGAACGTCACCCATTGTCAACCCCTTATCATTTCCCGTTTATTGGATCTTTTGCCGAGCAAGTTAGTCACATTCGGTAATTCGGTAATATAAAAGAGCATGAGACAAACATAAGAGAAGAAATATAGCCCATGATAAGCATACATAAGGATGGTAAGGCAAGCAAATAACATTAGGCTTGCTTTGAAATACTTAGAGACAAATAACACAATAAAACACCATTTCCATCACAGTTCAGTTCTGCAGGGCTAAAAAGAATGCTTTGGTAAAAATACTTATAGGTCAAATTAGAGGCTGAAATTGCACAGAAACAATATTCAATCTGTCTAGTTTCAGTTCCAATTTTCAGAAGTTGCACAGCACCTCCAAAAATTCATCTACAAACTATATTTGAAAACCTGTCCAGATTTGTCACCCTTTGGGAAAACTAGATTTTCTCTCAATCTACCCGACGGTTTTTACTCAAATAAAATCTGTTGGAAACAGGACTCAGAGTTCTAAATTTTGACAGTAGAACCAACATGAGATGATTTTTCTAGAATTTTATAAACTTTCTAAAAGTGGACTGTTTTTCAGAGACTCTGGACCAGAGTTTTCAACAAATTACCCAAGCCCTAAAAACACACAATTAGGAGCTAATAAAATTGCCACAAGCTCTAAACACATAAAATATCCTACCATAAATTCAGATTTGAGAATTAGATAGATTTGATATTTCTTTTAAATTAGAGAAGTTGCAGCAGTGCCTAATTTCACAAATTTGCAAGACAATGACACTATATCATACCCATACTTTCACACACACCAAAAACCTTATTGACCATTAATTTGTAACACAAGAGACATACTAGACAATAGAATGAGATGATGAAAGGATTGGAGAAATTAAGGGAGAGGTATGTTCTTACCTTCAAGAATTCCTTCTTTTTCTCTTCTTTTTTTCTTCTTACTTCTCTACTTCCCTTGAGCCAACTCTCCCTCTCTTACCCTCTCCTTGGGCTTTTTAAAAACGTGGGAGTGGATTTGGACAAGCCCTCAATTTATAGAGTATAAGGTAGCTTAATTGCTAAGGGAACTAAATAAATATCTAGATATTTGTTTTTTGTTTTTTTTATTATTTATTTTTTTGTTGTTATCCAACCAACTCTTCCACCAACATATTATATATATATATATATATATTTAAACTATGTATATATCCAAATAAACAATAGTATTCCATTCAAATAAATAATAAATGAAAGAACAACAAAAACAACAAAAAAAATAGAAATAAAAGTAAATGTTTGAATTAATTTAGATATTATGAGGTAAAATAAATAAAACCAAGTTTTAGGATAGTTCCAATCATAAAGTGGTGTTCCATGATTTAATTATGGTAACACACAGAGAAATTATTCTTTACTTGGGCCCTATTTGAGTTCCACTAGAGGTTTACAAAACACTGTCAAACCAAAAGGTAAAAGGAGAGAGAAAACA